TTACAGGACTGTTTGTTTACAATGGTATAGAATATTGAGAGCTCATAGGTAAATTATGAATGTAGTTAAATACCACTATTTAAGCTTCTCATTCAAAGTATCAAAAATAAAAAATAAAAAAACTGCCTTTGAACTTATTTTATTCTAGTCAAATACTGTTAAGCATACAAGAGTAGCATCTGCTTTTATAATTCCAAGTGAACGTAAAGAATATGTAGAATTTAGTGATAATTTTACTGTGCCTGGTGACTCTACACATACAGTTACTTTAATCCAGATGGCCCATGTTTATAAACAAGCTATTCAGGAAGTAGAGATGCTAAAAGTATGCTTGTATACTTTTCTTTAAAGCGTCAATGCTATACAGTGAAAAATGTAGACCAAGTTCACAATGCACAAGCCCTAAACAAAACCACGTGTCTCTGGTTGGTGCAGTATTTCCACGACACCAGGCATCAGCCTAGCTTCTGCTAATGTTGTGTCTTGGGAGAATGACAGAGATGAGTCTTGATTTTTAACAACTGGCAATTGCTGAAAAATAGGATTCAACAATGAAAATGCTCCAAAAAACCTCCTTAGAAAACATGTGATAAGCATAAACCTTTCACTGCTATGACTGTTGGGGATAATCTTGCCTCTGTATTTCACAAAAAGTTAAAAAACTGATATACACCAGATTTCTCAACCCCAGCACTACTGGCATTTCCAGTGAGACATTTTTTTTTAATTGTGTAGGATGTTCAGCAGCATCCCTGGCCTCTAATCACCAGATGCCAGTAGCATCTCCTCCCCAACTTGCAACAGTCAAAAATGTCTCCAGACACCGCCAAACGTCCCCTAGAGGCAAAATGGCCTCAGTTGAGAACCAATGATGCCCATTAATCATCTGGGGCACAGAAGTAAAACACTCTGTAGTTTAATTCAATGCAACTAACTACCTTTGTCATTATCTACATATACTGTGATAGGCATGGAGCTTTCAGTCCAGCAGGAGAGCTTAAGTAAAAGAGGGCTTGAGACCCTGTGCTCAGGAGTCAGATGGCTGGATCAGACTGTCCCCTTTGCTAGCTGCCTCTCATCTTGAAAAATTCACTTAATCTCCTTAAGTCTTGGCTTACTCAACTGGGAAATGGGAGTAAGAACAGCACCTGCTTTGTATGACGGTTGTGAGAATTAGATGAGAGAATAAATAGGCATTCATTCTAAATAAAACAGCATTTAACAAAATACTGGTATAGAGTAAGTGTCCAATAAATGTTGGAAGAAGCATGAGTGCTGTAATAGCACACTAGAGGACAACAATAGTTGCATCACCTTTCTCCAAACTCAGCTGGAAACAGTGAAAGAGAGTATTTGTTAGCCTGCTCCCAGTTACCGACAGAAGGGGTTCATATGAGATATGTGTGCGTCCACACATAAACAAACATGCATGTGGTTGTACAGTGTTTAAAAGATCCAGTCTATAACATCTGTGTTGAATTAAGATGTCAAGTACATTTTGAGGGTTTTATCTTTAACAAATTAGATGACAAGTTAAATTTGCTTTCATTCTGCTTAGAAATATTAATACTGAATTTTGAGGCAGACATTACTGTTGCTTTCAGAGCCTCTTTTTAGCAGACTTTCTTTTCTAAAGATAACTCCATAAAGACAGGTGAAAAGAGAAAAAGTAAACTGTGATGTGAAAACTGTCACTCCATAAAAGGCAAATTATATATTCATTACATCCCAGTAGCAGAAGGATGTGAGGCAGTCCCCTGACTTCCAGTTTAGCATAAGTCCTTCCACAAACCCCAGAACTCTGGCCTGATGTGAACACCACTGCACTGCTGAAACGACAGGCGGGCCTCTCCAACTCCGAGCCAACCTAGAGTCACAGGGTTGCCACAAACAGACCTTCCACTTGGGAGCTGTTGAGAGAAGACCCAACAGGACTCTGCTCTCCTGAGGATCCCTCACCAAGAACTGCCTGGGCCTGGCCCCCTTCTCCAGGTGGGCACAGCCATGGGCAAGGCACATGGCTTGATGAGTCGAGGAGGGCTGTCTCAGCCCCGCCAGCTATGCAATCAGCCTGTGCCCCTACAAGGAGGAGCCACGACCTACCTTAAGTTTACTCTTCCAGGGTCTCTTGGTCCATGGCTTCGTCTTCACTTAAGAGGTGCCACTATGACCAGAAAAAAAGAACTCCACTCCATCCTTAACCCTGGCTCTCAGTACAGGGCACTAACTTACCTACTGAGCCTCAGGAAAAGAATCTGACACTCTGGTCATCACATCTGGAAGGAGGACCAACATGCAAGGCCAGCCAGAATCAGAATTCAAGTCCCCTCTTGAATTTATGAAACATATTCCTCCTCTGAACACCCCTGCCCTCCCCACCTCTCCCTGGTAAATCCATATATATCTTTCAAAACTCAGCTCAAAAGTAGTCTGAACATTGAAGCCTCTCCCAGCTCCCTCCTCCACCACCAAAGTCTGAGGTCACTTGCTCCAACTAACCATGCACTACATTGTTTGTTGAGTCTATCTCCCCCACTCAACTGTGAGTGCTTCGTGACACACTTAATAGGTAGAATAAATGATTTGACTGACATTTTATGGAATTGAATATAACTTTTCATTTTAAGGGACAGATTAACACTACACTAGGTTCAACTATTATTTTTCTTCCAGTGAAATCCTTCAAGCCTTCTGAGCAATTTAATGTTTTCCCTGCGGAATCATCTAAATATGAAAATAGCCACTGTCCATCAGAACAGAGCAATCACCCATTAGTGACTAGGTGTGCCACTTTCATGGAGATGGCTTCCACATCTCCTAACAGAGGACTATCATGCTTATTTAAATGCCTGCTACATGGCATACTATGGAGGATGATCAAAAGCAGAGCCAGATCTGCTGGGCAAGTGGGGGCTGCAGAGCTGGTGAGTGACAGGCCTGGGCTTTCACCTCTGGCTTGGCCAACCCAAGCCAGTGCTCTTCCCACCACTTGCTGATTAAACATGACTTCCTCATTGTTTTTCTCAGGCAAGACTAAAAATCCTGAGAAATCACCTCTGGCTACAGCTGAAATCTTCTCATTTGAAATTCAATATCCGGATGGACACCAGATTAACCTAGTTTGTGAATTAAAAGCATCTCAATTATTTCAGTCTGCTCCATTCTGAGCTTCGGTCATGTTCCACGCTGCACTCCCTCCCCAGTGCCTTTCATCTGGAGCTTCCTATGGGCTTCCTGAAGTGCTGTGAACTTTCTTTCCTAACAGCCCTGTCTGGGGACAATCATGTCCTAATCTCTAGCAATAGAGTATAAAAAGAGTTTTAAGCTCCTCAGGCCTCAGTTTCCTCACTGGTAACATGGGGAAATACTCTCTGCAAAGACAGAGAAGCACACTGGGTTTTGCTCCAACTTTTGTCAGTCTTCCCACTCTGTGCCACAAATTTCAAGAAAGAAGATAATAAGCTCTTTCTTTCTGAAAGTGTTGATGCCTTGAGAGAGCCCAAGCTTGATTAATCTCTAAAACATTGGTAGCCCTCAGAGCAGACTGGGGTATTTTTGTATACAACAGCTTAAACAGAAAATTTTAAAGTGAGCTCAAGAGTGGAGAGGGCATATTTATAAATGCCTTTATGCCTTTATTTGATCTCTCCTCTGTTTTTAGAACATCATTAAGGAAGATCATTTCTTTCTCTAATGATTTTGAAAAAGTCATGGGTTATCCTTAGGAAAGATAAAAATGAATTAGGCCTTGAAATGACAAGAATTGAAGTCAAAATCAAGATATCACATCTTTGGCTATTACACTTGCACACACATGCACACACAAATGTTCAGAGCAGGCAGGAGAATCAAAAGTATTTGATTTCTTCTACTTTTATGAGAAAACTACTGAAGTGAACTTCACCAACACCATTTTATCCCTCAAATTCCAAACTAGTTTGTGCTTAATCCCACTCAAGCACATTCATAAGAGACTTTTATCCCTGGAAGGACCACGTGAGTCGTCCACATGCGGAAATGCACAGTTCATGTCCCATATACATCAGACACTGCCTGGGGCTGAATTTTCTTCAAACAGGCACAGCTGACATATGCATTTGCAGCAAGACTGTGTGGCACCCACATCTGTCTTACCCTGAAGCAGACGCTTCACTCGATCATGTTTATTTACAGTAAAGTTCCCTGATAAAATCGCCACATGCTGGAGGGAATGACAATGAGTACACACACACAGACCAGCGCAGTCCCACCCAGTGGGCACGCCTTCCATATCCTGAGCCCAGGACACAAAATCAAGTGAGGGAATGGCAATGAGTACACACACACAGACCAGCGCAGTCCCACCCAGTGGGCACGCCTTCTGTATCCTGAGCCCAGGACACAAAACCAAGCCACTCTGCCCTGGAACATGATCAAAGAAATACCATTCTCAACATCGTGCCTCGGTCTGATCCAGCTCACTGCTTTTTGATGAATACTCTCATGCTACCACCTCTATTTCAGAAAACACAATTACTAAACCAGAGGAGGTCATGTTTGTTTGTTTCACAAAAGGAGAAAAGGACAGAACAGAGAGAGAAAATTAAAACATTACTCTGATGATATTTCAATTAATTTGTGACCTCGATATTCTGGAGAAAGGCCTCTTTGATCTGGTTATTTCCATAAATGCACAATAACCTCTGATTACTGTGAATAGACATTTATTCATGCAAGTTTAGGTCACTAATGAACGATTGTGCCCAGGCAAAACATACACATACTCACAGTCACTCATTTCTTCTGAAACCTAGGGAAATGCAGTAAATTTTAACTTGGGAGAATAAAGGTTAAGCATGGCAGTTAAAGGGGTAAAATTTGAAAGTCAATCATTAGAATAAATATCCCTAGTGAATTACCACAATCCTAATGTTTCTAGCTCTGCTGTCTCCCAGATTTAAAAGCACGTATCAGCACCCCGTAAGAAAAGCAATTCCTGCCCATAAAAGCCAGAAGGTCACCTTTTTCATCTTGGCCCAAGATATTTAATCCTTCACATCTGCAAACATGGAGCACTTGGCATGAGCCAGCGTTACTCTTGGCTCTGATGGCAGTCGCAAGAGATGGGTAGGACACCACCTTCAAGCTGTTCCCAGTCCAGTGTGGGGAGGGGACAGAATTACCTATAACGGAAAGAGGAGTTTTCTAAGTTTTCTGAGCCCATCAGACAGAATAGAGAAAGATCTTCATGAGAGGCACAAGGCATGCTGGAGAGCCCCTAAATGGAACAGTGTGCTCCCGGATAAGGGCTATGACAGCTCCAGGCAAACTCTGGAGTGCTAGGTGGATGTCACAGTGTGTCCTGGTCAGGGTCCAAGCAAGGCAGCAGAGCCAGTACAAGACACACATGGAAGGATCGAGGACCAGGAACCATCCATGGGACTGTGGGGGCTGGGTACACCGAAATTCACAGGACAGGAGTCAGGACACGAAGACCACGGGGAGGACAGGGCTGCTGGATTGGCAGGTGGAATGTCTTTTCTCTGGGAAAGCCTCAGCTCTGCTTTCAAGGGCCCACTAAGTCAGGCTCACCCAGATTACCCAGGATAACCTCCCTTAAAGTCCCAATTACCCAGGATAACCTCCCTTAAAGTCCCGATTACCCAGAATAACCTCCCTTAAAGTCAACTGAGTAGGGACTTCAATTACACCTGCAAAATCCCTTCACAGCAACACCAGTGTGCGACTGCATCATTGGACTGCAGCCTCGTCAAGTAAACTCATCAAAAGCTGCCACGGGAGGTTATTGTTGTTACTGGAGTCAGCTAATTGAGCTGCCAGACTGCCTGGGTCTGAACTCTGGGACTGTCACTACTAGTTCTGTGTTCTTGAGCAACTTACTCAACTAATCAGGGCCTCAATTTCCCCATCTATAAAATGATGATGACAAACAGTACCTACTTTATAGATGTTTTGTAAGGATTAAATTTGCTAACACATGTAAAATGCTTAGAATACTGAAACGTAAGAAGAATTCAGTAAGTGTTACCTGTTTTGCTGTTATTATGACTATGATTACTTAAGGCATGTATAACAGTGTGTGTAGCTAATACATCAAAAATTACTTTAGCAAGCTCGTGGCAGAGCCAGGACTGGAACTGAGGGTCCCAGAATCAAATCCTTTGGTAACTGTTTATTCAGCATCTGTTATGCTTGCAAGTGTAGAAATTTAATGAAGAGTAAATAGAAGTCTTATCCTTGTGAAGTCACATTATAGCTGATAATATGAGACAGACAGTACCCAACAACGCATTCTACATGTCAAATAAAGGGTAGGGAAATGGTGTTGTAAGAATCCATGTGGGGAGACAGGACTCGCCCATGTCTGGGCACATGCCTTGAGAAGGGATGTACTCTCTTCTGGAGTGCGAGAGGTGAGAAAAGAACAGAGGGGAGGGGTGGTAGGCAAGGGCCACAAGGGCAAAAAGGCACAGAAGCCAGAAAGGTAACGAGGGCACTGGGCCAACAAGAAAATCCCCAAAATGTTAAGTGTTCATTTCTAAGGACTAGTTGGTATTGCTTCACTTAGGAAAGAATTCATTTACCAGCTTGAGCCTTTGTCTTTGTATAGAAATCCCAAAGCACAGTCCCATAAGCTTAACAGCACAGCCAGAGATTAAAAACGCCTCTGTTCATGATTTTTTTTTTCATGGAGTTGGGTTTCCCCAGGTTTTTCTCCAGTGGTAGGCTTTAATTGAAGCAATAGATACAGCAGCTGATACCTCATATTAAAATAGTTTCACCAGGCTGGCACAACCGAAGGATTTTATTTTACAAAATCTATAACCAGAAAACATTGGCTTCGCCTTTTGTACTGGAGATGTGATGGAATTAAAGGATTCAAGATTGCAAAGCCTTCGTGAATAATTTAGAATCCTCTAGTCCCAGCAAATATTCCCTTCACTTTCTATGTGCCAATATTGGACTCTGACATCTGAGGAGGGTTTAATGCTGCTGAGTATTCTCTAATTCAGGATCATCTTCAAACATACACATACACACACGTGTGCACACACATACATGCACACATACACACACGCACACGTGCACACACTCCTTTCAGCTGTTCTATGTGACTTTATGTCTAAAATCTCAGAATTAAATTCTCAGTATGATGTCTAAAATCTCACAATTCTCAGCTTTGTGATTTATATAATTTATTTTAACACTTACTTGACACTTACTAACCATATCCCAAACAGTGGCTCATGTTGGTCCTCACAAGAAATCTATTAGGTAAAAACAATAATCATACGCCTTTTGTAAATGAGGTAATCAAAACACAAAGAGGTTAAGTCACATATCTAAGCCACACATCTAGTAAGTGACAGAACTGGGATTCAGACGCAGGCTCTCAGACCCCTGAGTTTATACATTTAACCGTTAATCTGCCCCTCAGACTGGGCATTAAAAGACCGATATCAATATCCAAGGACTGCTATAGCCTTTCTGCTACATACTTAGGAAGGGTCAAGACACTGAGTGGGTCTCTACCCAATTTGGAGAATCCATTCTCAGCCTGAATCCCAACAAGCAGTTATTGTGTCCATTAACCTTTGAACAAGAGAAAACATTCTCCATTACCACAGCATGTCAATGACTGGATACAGAGACTTGGCAGAAACTGCCAAAGCATCCAATTTGATCTATATACCCATGCAGGGCAAAATGGCATTTCCAGAGAAACTGGTAGGGCAATTTATAGCCCATAATGGAGGAGAACACCTTGGGGAAGCATTTTATACTCTGCATAAATATTGAATATCAGTGTAGACTGAATTTTCCCTGAAAGGTCATAAAGGTCCTCATACACCAAAGTGACCCTCCAAGTGCAGGCGTGCACAGATCACAGAGAAAAGGGTCATCTAAATCTGGACAACACAAGTAAAAAGAGGCATGCAGACCAGCATGGTACGTACTCTTGCCCAGCCTACGAGCTTCAATCGTACAAAGGACTTGGGAGACTACACCAGACTTATGCTACAGATCATTTGCCATTCAGGAGGCTTCATTATCACTAAGTTAGTACAGAAAGAAAAGCTGCCTTAAGTGAATCCACTTAAAATAGAAACAAATATTTCACAGTTGAATGATCAAACGGTTCAACTGAGGTTTTATCTTGAACTAGAAATCAAAACACATTTGTTTTGTTTCTATTTAACATCTTTTTAGGTTTTTATTAAACAATGCATCAAGTATGGACAGGGGCAGTGTTTGAGCATGACAGCTTACATTTATACCCAACTTCCTCAGCCCAATCAGAAAGAGGCTCAGTTTTGCAAAAAGATCATAGCACATTTCATCAGTGCTTCCAAGCATCCCTCTCTTGATCTGTTGAAACTTATCACATCACTGTCCTTATCAATTTTCTACTCTTCACATGTTAGCTACTATAGCCTTCTCAGGAACTCATTTTTCAAGGGCTTTGCACAAGATTTGAACAGTTCTCCAATATCACTTTCAGTAATTTCATAAATCCTGCTTCTATTGTAAGGCTCAAAATTTCACTTTGCAAATGTTTTGCAGACCCTTTGCATGGCAATGTCTGATGTAATAAAGACTATGATAAAGAAGGAAGGAGGTTTCCATGAGACTGGTCATTCTTCTATTAATTAGTGTCTATTTTTTGTTATGAAGACTTTTATTTTCTCCAGGCAGACTTACACCTGAAGAGACCACGGAAATAACAACAGAACAATAACCTCTTCTTCTGACTCCGTTTAAGTGACTGAAACCTCGGAATTCTCCAGCTTGAGTTAAACTCCCACATGTATCCTTTTCTATTTTCATCATGAAGTCCTGCATTATAGATGTTCTAGGGAAGTTACAGCCTAATTACCTCCATCAAATGAACCTAACTTCCAGTAGGACTCTGGTACTTTCCATTTGCATTAAGAAAAACAATGACATATGCTTAAAAGCTTCCAAATACGAAACTATTAAAACTAATATATAAAATATTCATTTTCAATTATTTTTAGAACTAGCCTGGCAAAAATTTAAAGAACATTCTCACATACCAAAAACAATGACAAATCCTGAATACAAAGAGGTAAGCAAGGGCTAAAGCTGAAAGATGCGGTGATCTGCTAATGTCTGGGGGCTGAGTGCGGAAAACTGAAGAGCAAGTATATGCAAGGCATTAAATCAGATCAGAGACCACCACACAATGAACACCAGTACCCTCGGTAAACAACACCCGCAAGAAGAAGGCAGCATGAAAAGACCGCTTCAGCACGGGCTCTGAATGGAGGCAGGAAAATTCCCTGAGAACGTCTAACCACATTCTGGTACTCACTGTGTTCAGGGCCAGAATTCACTCTACTTATGTAGCTCTGTGATCCGTGGTATTAGTCTCAATAGACACAGGACAAAAACCTTAAACCCAGACCTCAAAGAATTCCTATACACTAATTTCCAAGTAATATGTCTCACAATTCAAAGTCGAGCAATGAATACAAGGATAAAAGCTACCATAAATGAGCAAACCCACAAAGAAGTAGAATTGAGAATTATCAAAAAAAAATAAAATACACATATCTAGTATGTTTGAAGAAATTAAAGAAAATACCAAACTTATGACGCAAAATTAGTAATCATGAAAAAACCACATCTTCTAAAATTGGAAAAGGTAGAAAATAAAATAAACACACAAAATAAATTTAATATAATAAAGTTAGGAATGCAAAGGTTGGGTTAAAAAAGAAAATTAGACATCTCTGAAGAGAGAATTAGTGAAGTGAAAAATAAATTTGAAGGAATATTCCAGAATGAATCACAGAGCTATAAAGAGGAAAAAGAAAATATTAACAAGGAATTGAGAAACATAGTAATAGAGTGAGACAGCCTACCATACATCTAATTGAAGTTTCTAAAGGAGATAATACAATGAGGCAGAATATTTGAAGAGATAACAGTTGAGAATTTTTCCAAATTAATGACAGACATAAATCTTCATATTCAAGAAACCCAACAAATCTCAAGTAGGAAAAATAAATACTAAAACACTGGAGAACAATAGTATATTAATTGGGACAATCATGATTGAAATTAAGACATTCTAAGGTTTTTTTATTCTTTAGGAGGAAAGTAAAGATATTAACTGAATTTAGACTTTAGCTTA